CTAACTCAGCTGTGCCACCTGGGTACTTGGTGTAGTGTGAGATCAGACTGAAAGGTTGAGGAGGTAGCTTCCCTGATTGAGCTGGTTGAAACAGTTTTCAGTGTGGTGTTGGATGACCCAAGGGTGATAATACACACACAGACTTCTATTGGGCTAGCTTGAGACTTAATGGCTTCAGTGGCAACCATGAGGCTCCCTCAAAGAGTCTTCTCTCCAGCATATCAAGCAGGGCATGCCCTTGATGTAGTCTTTCCCCCAAATAATAAGAAAGATGGACTGAAGGTAGAGAGCATGCATTGCTCTCCCTTGTTACGACTGGACCATTGTTTGGTGAAGTTTGGGTTGCGAAAGTTGAACGTTTCCTTGGGAGCAAGCTGCATGAAGACTAGACAAATGGTGCAAATCTCACTACAAAACCTATCAATCATAGGTCAGTGCTCATAATTCTGCCTACCTGGCAGTGTGGGCAACAAAGAGGGCTTACTCCACAGCCTGTATTGCATTCTTGCAATGACAGGGAAAGGACCCCTGGAACCTTTGAAGACATGCTGTGACTGACTGGCATCACATTTTGATGACAAAGTTGCTCAACATCAGAGTGACCTTGACTTAGCCTGGGGCCCACACACCGAAGGAACTGTCCCTTTCCATGTGTTCACAGTGTATGACTTAAGGAAATCTGTGACACAGAACATGCCCTTTACCACATTTGGTTGCATTTGTGAAATGACCTGCCCAATGAGGTTCAGAGCTATTCTGCTTCTATGACTTTCTCCTCTAGTAAGCCTTTGGCTGGTGAGTAAACAGTGTTGCTTCTATGGATGATTTTTTTTTTTTTTTTGGCAATGCTTATTTTCTGAAAGTTGCTTTGACATTTGGAGAGATATGGTAAGAATGTTTTAAAATAAACCCAAGCTGCCAACATGTTGCTTTATGACTCTAAATACTAGAAACTTACCGTACATACTCGAGTATAAGCAGACATTTTCAGCACATTTTTTATGCTGAAAACCCCCATGGCTTTTCCACCCCCACGGGTTGAAGCAGCGAAGGGACAAGTGGCCCGAAAGGGAGCCCTTTCTTGCCGCTGTTCCCACCACTGCCGCCTGCCTCTCCCAACCAGGCTCCTATGCCTGCTCTTGTGAGTGGCTGAGGCAGAGGGACGAGCGGCCCAAAAGGAGCCCTTTCGGGCTGCTCCTGCCTCCTCCTCCGCCTTTGCCACTGTTGGTGGCGGCGGCGAAGGAACGAGCAGCCCAAAAGCAGCCCTTTTGGGCTGCTTGTTCTTCCTCCGCCACTGCCGCCACCACCAGGTTTGTGGTGTGGTGAACCGGTTTATACTTGAGTCAGTAAGTTTTCCCAGTTTTTTGTGCTAAAATTAGTGCCTCGGCTTATATTCGGGTCGGCTTATACTTGAATATATACGGTATTTAATAAAGCAAAATATGAAATTCTAAAAGCTTTTCTCAGAAACCTGGACCCCCTCCAAAATATTTCTCTGTTACACTCTCATGATGGAACTCAGGGTGGCATACACAAGGGTTTCCAGGTAGACTATATCCCGGTAGATGCCAAAGAATTTGATGCTTGCTCATAAGAGCATGATAAAGTGGCAAGGTGTTGAGGGTTTTGTGTATGTATAAACCATGGGTTTATAAACTTACATTAGGTTTACTGAAATGAATCTAATATAGTTTTTACTATATGGAAGGAAGTTTCTGTACTGAAACTGGTGTTTTGTGAATTACTTTATTTTTGTTTGTATTTAACTGTTTCCTTTCTTGGTATTAAAATAGATTTTTCACAGCTGAAATACTGTTGAGGTGCTCCATATGTTTTTAAAGCAACAATTAATATCAATATTGCCACAAACCCTTACTCATAGTACCATGTTGATAAGAAAAAATGGAGTGGGGGACGACCTACCTTTGAACAAAAAGATTGTAATTGAGTGAATTGTTGACCTGTTTTCTCCCAAAATGTAAAGTAGCAGTTGCAATTAATTACATTTTATGTATTTGTGAGTACTTAGAAGTCATAAATTTAGCTCTGGTGCAATCTGCAGCAGCAAATTGGCTTTAGTGCTCCAGCATTAGAAAAGCAACATCATAACCATATAGGACACTAATTGCTTCATTTAGTTGAGAAAACCAAGCTTCTTTGTTTTTTAAGGGTGTTTGGGGGAGAATCTTTTGTTATATGTAGGCTGTGGCGTAGACTGTTATACCTGTAGTTAAAATTTATTGTATGCTATTTCAAACAGGCCTGGCTTTGTGTTTTGCTGAGAAAGGGCCCTTTTTTATGACACGAATAAAGACAGGGATTTATTTGACATGAAGTAAACTGGAAAAGAAGTTTCCTATACTTGTGCCAAACTTCAACGATATTTTATTTGTTGTCTTGCAATCCAGAGTCCTGAAGCACTAAGCCAAACAAACAGATATTTTAAGTCCACAATGAGTGATGTTACCTGGTAGACCCCGGCACAGACAAGCTGGAAGTAATTTTTTATTTTCTGTGAAACTCAATTATCTGAATGTAATGTGTGCACCTCCTATAATTCCATTCTAGTGCAATGCTTTATAAAATACCATTTATAATTAGTTGAATTTCTGAGGTCCCTGAGGTCACTTTGATCAGAGAAGGTGTACACATACTAATAAATTTACCTTTGAAATATATGTATTTGGAATATGTGTCTAAAGCGAACAGACTTGTATACATTTTACACTGTCTAAACGTTCACATGGTTTGCCTTAGGCAAGGACTGGTTGAAACTGGTTGCACAGAAGACAAATAATATTGTAGCCTGTGTTAAGTGTGTATCTGCTTTGAAATGAATGCACTTGATGTGAATGAATATGTGCTTCATAGAAAAGCTATACTCGGGATTTTTAAAGCTAAGCAAAGCTATTTTTCTAGCATAGAGCTCTGTTCAATGTTCAGCAGTTATTGAGAAGGCTAGGGAAGATAAGAAGAAAGGCTATTTATATCATGTTTCTTTTTCTTTCTATACTCTATTGAAAAGACCTGCCAGTTTGACAAATAACACGAGCAAGCAAGGAATTATTATATCTGGAGGCTGCAAGGTTTCCTTATCTTAAACTTGGCTTTTAATAATTATATTTGTGTGGTTTTTTTGGTCAATGCTAAATCCCACCTTTTTACCCCCTAAGAAAAAGAATGCAAAGAAAGCCCTTGAGCTGGCCCGCCGCCTGATCAAATGAAAATGTATTGTGTGTGTGGCTTTTATTTGCAGGCTTCCCCCCCTCCCCGGTCACTATACACATAGATCTTCTTATGTGCTCCAGTAAGCTGTCTGAAACATCCACTGAAATATAGGAACTGGAAGACACTTGAATTTATAGCATAATTGAAGGATCTTGCTGGGAAGCTGTTGTGATAAAATATGTCTGCCTTGTATAGTTCTCATGAAAAAATGTTCCTGAAATAGAATTCATAATTGTTCATCACTTTTATTTTCCTATAAATAATATAACTATCTAAGGCTCATGCAATCTAAATAGTATAAGTGCATCTAGGGGTTTCATGCATTGGAATATTGGAAATACACAATCCGTTCTTAATACCACCCAAGCCTTGTCCTGCACCCATTCATTGTTGGGCTATTATTGGTGGTGACATTCTTTTAATGCTCAAACATTCCTGATGCTACTTATTACTGCCTGTCCCACTAATAGGAAGATAGTGAAATTATGAACCACAGTAATCTTGGCAGGTTCATGGTCTACTGAGGAGTCTAGGTGAAGGTTTTTAATTGACACATTCTAGTTTTTTGTTTGCACAGGTGTTTAGCCATAAGGCAGACCGATAACTTGCTTTCTGAGATCAAGAAAGGATCTGAAAGGGTGTGTGTTGATGTTGAAGGATAGCATAGCTTTTGGTCAGAGGCCATAACTGCCTGATTTAATATGGAATCATTGAATGAAAGGACTAGCAAGGGCATGAGACCACGAAAGTGAGAATCTTGGACAAAAATGGAGATAATGTAGATTGGTTGCAGAGTTATGTTGTAGTGTAAGTATTCATCTGGTTTGCTTAGGATAGGTGTTCTCAGGAAGTGAGAATTGAACTAAGGCATCTGAGATAGCACAACAGCAACCAGATTTTGGTTTAGGATGGGGATGGAGAACTTGTGGTCCTTCATCTATTGTTGGTACTCCAACTCCTCTCAACCCCAGACAACCTGACCAGTGATTAAGTATGATGGTCCTCCAGTTTTGGTTTAGGACTTCTGGTAGTATACTTCTGAGATCTTAATGCTATTTCATGTTAAGGATTTAAAAAATAAAACCACATTTAAGGAGGATTTTATCACATTGCAAAATACGCTGCTGTTAAGTGGTGTGTGAACTAAAAAAAACCCTTCAAAATGAAAGCCTCCTTCATCTTAGCAGCACATCAGTATGGTTATTTGCTTATCAGTATTGAATAAGGCATCATTTTGTGTCTACTTGAAAAATCGATGGCATCTTCAAATATGCCACTATACTCAGATCCCTTAGAGCAAGTCCAGTCCTTTTGCAACAAGGAATATGACACACAACATAGGATGATTGAACAGTGCTATTCCTTCACACTTCTAGTTTGGTTTTATTTATGAATTTATTTAGAACAGGAATGAGCACCTTCTTCAGCTGGATCCTCCCCAACCAAGTAGCTGGGGGCTGGACAGCCCTGGCCATTATGTCACTGCTGAATCCCCACATCTTGGCTGGGTATCCTTTCAGTACTAAAAGTGAGAAAATGTTGGAGGCCTTTCTGGTTACACAGAAGCTTCTATGGGAAGCTTCCTTTAACCTATCATACATGTATGTGCCTTACATCCTTATTTTGGGGAGGGTGCATTTGAAGTACTTGGGACAAGTGAAAGTAAACGCTAGTGGTTGTTGATTTCAAAATGTCAGTTATTGCTAATACTGAGCTATATCTTCTTGAACCTTAGTAACAGGAAATCATATTATCTTACCTTGTCTTACTAGCTTGTGATGAATGGAAAATTCTTCCAAAGCCTAATCTTCATCGTGATGTGAACAGATTTGGTCACTCTGCAGTTGTCAGCAATGGGTAAATATGCTTTTCTAAAAATGAGTCAAAAGAAAATAAACATATTCTAACACATTATCTTAAATATACATTTTTAATGAACAACTGATGTTCTTTGTTATCTTATTAATGATGAGCTTATGAAAGCCAGAGTTGTGTACTCTACTTGAACTGGGAAGACCTGAAATAAAATCCTCATTTAGCTATGAAGTTTGCTGGGTATTTTCAACCATTTACTTTTATTTTGGCCTAATATGGCCTCACAACACCACTGTGAAGACAAGGGTCATGGGAACCTCTGTTTCATTGAACTGACTCCCTTGGTTTGAGGGGGGAGGACTGCCAATTTTGTTCACCTGATTGAGAAAATAGAGAAAAGAGAGCTGAAATTGTTTGGATAGGATCTACAAATCTTATGCTATGTTATTTATTTCATTTAAATAGTTACGGACAGTCTTTCTATGTAAAGCTCTCTCATTGTGATTTACATGATACAAATTTCCAAAATATAACAGTAATACAAAATATAAATAAAAAATAATTTCAAAAATAACTTTATGCTACATCAAGTTTAAAAGTATAATGATTAAATTTGGAGCTTGATATTTCTTGGTATACCTCGGAAAAAAAGTATGTTCAATTATTATTAGCTTCCTGACCTTGGTATTACACTGGGGTGGGAATAAAGCAGTGATATATATAGTTAGCATACACAAGAATATTGGAAGCTGTTTGAAATCGATACCATTAATATACTATATTCATCAGTGCTTGAGGGACAGGAGAGGTGAGAGAAAGTGGAAGAGTACAATTTGTTCTATGCATCATTTAGCACCTTTATAAGAACTGTATAATCTGTTGGATAACAAGCATGGATTGGTATACATACAATAAAATAATTGCAGTTGTTTATCACTACCATGATCCTGCTGGCCAATTTTTAGACAGTTCTACCCTACAGTTCCACATGACACAGATCTTACTGTTCAAGAGTGCTATCAAAGCTCTGGAAGAGTTCATTAGGTGCTACTTGGGGGAGAAGGGAAAGAAAAAGATTGGTTGTTCAGGCTGCCTACCACTTCCACAAGTGGATACAGCTTGCTATAAATGATGTCAAAACTCCTAATAAATGTGAACATACTTTCAAAAGAGTTTTCAGATATTCTTTGTAACTTGATGGACGGCAGAGGCAGGCAGGCACTCAAATAGACAGCTTCAACTTTCTTCAAGACTCAGAGAGCTGCTTTTGAAAGTGCCTGCCTCACCTGGATCAAATGATTTTATTTTTTTTTGAAATTTTTGTGTAAGCCTATTCCGTATAGCATTCTGGGATTACATTCATTGAAAAAGTGTGAGATTGTTTTAGGTTCACCGGAGAATGTGAGATACAGAGTGCCAGGCTAGACTTCTCTGCCCCCTCCATCACCCTATATATTTTATCTTATTTCTTTTTGATGCTAACCAAAACAGTGGGATCTTGCAGAAGGAGGTTAGCTACACACTTCTTAGGACTAGTAAGTGTGAATACTCTCTCACATAAAATAGAGATGGCAAATGAGGCAAGAGTCATGGCCTTGGATGATACATATCCTTCTAAAATTACAATATTATTTTCTATTACTTTATAGGTCCATGTATATATTTGGAGGTTTTTCAAGCGTTCTGTTAAATGACATCCTTGTGTACAAACCTCCCAACTGTGAAGCATTCAGAGATGAAGAGCTTTGTAAAACTGCTGGGCCAGGATTAAGATGCTTATGGAACAAAAACCGCTGTGTGTCGTGGGAATCTGGTCATGCTAACAACATTCTTAGGGCAAAGTGTCCCAGAAAAACAGGTAAGTGAATTGCCCCTTGGTCATTGTTATTATTTTAATCATAGCAATGATAGCAGTGCTGTGATATCATAGCACTTTCTACAAGTTTAACGAAATGCAAGTATAGATGGATTGGGACTGCATGTGCTGGTGCTGCTTTGTAAATATATTCCGATTGTGAATTTAGAAACAGTTTGATAGTGTTATATAAATATTCTTCATATAGTATTAGCCTACGTGTTGCTTTATGTTTAACAGATTGTTCTGTTTTGCAACACGGGATTTTTTTGTTGCATAACTTTGTAAATATATTCATCAGGAGGTGTCAAAGTTCCTACATGTGTACATGTGTACCAACCGTATAGGTAAGATCCATGATTGTGCAGGCAGAGTCTGTACATGTAGCATTGGTATGCATGGGCTCTCTTGCATTTCTGATGAATGCATGTATAGAGGACAGGGCCAGCAGCCATAATCCCACTTCCCCCTTTCTATGCAGGTTCTGTATAAATTTGAAAGGTATTCCTAGAAATGTTTATTAGCTTCTATAAAGGTGTTTATTCCCAGATAAAAAAAGAATCAATGTAGATACATTATTTTAATAATATATTTATTTATACCCTGCCTTTTTCTCTGACAGGAATTCAGGGCATCTTACAGATAAAAATAAGCACAGCTAAATATTTAATTCCTTTCGTAAACTGAATATGATTTACCTCTGCTGAGTGCCATATAAAGATATACATCCATCCATCCATCCATCCATCCATACATACATCCTTTTATTTGTATGCCACCTTTATATTGTTAAAACCATGCTCAAGGAGACTTACAACATGAAAGAAATTGCATAATTACAAATATAAAAAGTGTTAAGTTGTGGGTGAGCATATCAGACCACACAGCGATTCTTCAAACAGCTCTTTAGAATCATAGAATCATAGAGTTGGAATAGACCACAAGGGCCATCGAGTCCAACCCCCTGCCAAGCAGGAAACACCATCAGAGCACTCCTGACATATGGTTGTCAAGCCTCTGCTTAAAGACCTCCAAAGGAGACTCCACCACACTCCTTGGCAGCAAATTCCACTGTCAAACAGCTCTTACTGTCAGGAAGTTCTTCCTAATGTTTAGGTGGAATCTTCTTTCTTGTAGTTTGGATCCATTGCTCCGTATCCACTTCTCTGGAGCAGCAGAAAACAACCTTTCTCCCTCCTCTATATGACATCCTTTTATATATTTGAACATGGCTATCATATCACCCCTTAACCTCCTCTTCTCCAGGCTAAACATGCCCAGCTCCCTTAGCCGTTCCTCATAAGGCATCGTTTCCAGGCCTTTGACCATTTTGGTTGCCCTCCTCTGGACACGTTCCAGTTTGTCAGTGTCCTTCTTGAACTGTGGTGCCCAGAACTGGACACAGTACTCCAGGTGAGGTCTGACCAGAGCAGAATACAGTGGCACTATTACTTCCCTTGATCTAGATGCTATACTCCTATTGATGCAGCCCAGAATTGCATTGGCTTTTTTAGCTGCCGCGTCACACTGTTGGCTCATGTCAAGTTTGTGGTCAACCAAGACTCCTAGATCCTTTTCACATGTACTGCTCTCAAGCCAGGTGTCCCCCATCTTGTATTTGTGCCTCTCATTTTTTTTTTTGCCCAAGTGCAATACTTTACATTTCTCCCTGTTAAAGTTCATCTTGTTTGTTTTGGCCCAGTTCTCTAATCTGTCAAGGCCGTTTTGAAGTGTGATCCTGTCCTCTGGGGTGTTAGCCACCCCCCCAGTTTGGTGTCATCTGCAAATTTGATCAGGATGCCCTTGAGTCCATCATCCAAGTCGTTGATAAAGATGTTGAATAAGACCGGGCCCAAGACAGAACCCTGTGGCACCCCACTAGTCACTCTTCTCCAGAATGAAGAGGAACCATTGATGAGCACCCTTTGGGTTCGGTCAGTCAGCCCGAATAAGCTCTTGTTTATTCACAGGCCGGAACAGAACTGAACTGAAGGGTTCAGCCAGCCTGCTTATATAGAGCTCCACTACAACGCAACTGTAACCATTTTCTGTAACTATCCAATCACTGAACGTCACTTTCAATCCCCTATTTACATATGTGGACCTGAGTGAAAACTATCTACAGTATCCCCCTGCTGGCCCAGGGTGAGAACTTCAGTACATAACAAAAAGAAATAGTCAAACAATAAATAAAACACATAAAAAAATACACAACAAAATTGAATAATGTCCATATTAAATTAGTACAGTGGTACCTCAGTTTAAGAACAGCCCTGTTTACGAACTATTCTGTTTACAAACTCCATAAAACCGGAAGTAGTGTCCCGGTTTATGAACTTTACCTTGCTCTAAGAATGAAAGTCGAACAGTGGAAGGGCACTGGCGGCGGGAGGCCTCATTAGGGAAAGCGCACCTCGGTTTAAGAATGGTTTCGGTTTAAAAACGGACTTCTGGAATGGATTAAGTTTGTAATCCGAGGTACTACTGTACTTGAAGTTTGTAGATTACCATCAATTTCCTTCAGTATTGTTTTAGTAGTTCATTAGGAAATATACCAGTATTGAAAGAAAAAATAACAGCCTCACAGTCTTTTATCCATAAATATGCAAGTGAAGGCCTGTGCACAGGACTTTCTGGCCCATTCTGCCACTGTATAGCTCCTGTAGCCTTGCCCCACCAACTATTCTTGAGGGAGCAGCTCTAGGAGAGAGGGGGTAGTGGAGATGCAGCAGGAAGGAGTAATTAGTAAAAGTTGGGGAGAGGGAGATTTAGAATCAATAAAGATTAATTCTACTGTAGCGCATTAATATTATAAAGATACAGTTTATTTCTTTTAAAAAACAGAAAAGGTAAAAAAATATATATTTCAAGGGAAACAGCGCAAAGCATGTAAAACCGGAAAATATTTGAGAAGTGGTATGAATTGGGGATGATATATTGTAGGGGCTTTTTCAGGGCACAAGAAGATACTTCTTGAATAAGGACAAAACAGTTCTTTAGTTATTGAGAACCTCATAAATAAAAGGTAAAGAGATGAGACGTGAATACTGGACTGAAAGGTGAGGTAAAATGAAAGGTCTTTGAAAAGTGTAAGAGTAAGGATGAGATGCTTCAAAAGCATAAAGAAAGGCCATCATGGGCTTTGTGATAAGGAGAAGAGTTAGAAATGAATGTGTCAAGGATCAGAATGTAATAAAGGATTTCAAATATAGGAGAGAGTGTGATGACATGATTGAAGCAGGAGGCTGCAGTTGAATTTTGACGTAAATTTGGTTCAGGCAGGTGGCTTTTTTCCTGAAGTAACCTCTTGATAGTATTTCATGGTCTGCCTCTCATGGTTTTCCTTGGTGAAATGATTAAAATGATTGCTCCTCTTTGAGTTTGTACAACGCTTGTGATAAATTAAACTTTTCTATGAATACTTTAAGACAGATTTCATTTTATTTTGAGTCAAGCAGGCCTCTTTTTGAACACTGATTTAAATCCTACACATTGATCTCTCAATAGGTCCTTTTCTAACAGAACCTCTTTTTATTAGCCTTTTGTATGGTTAAGCCCATTCCTGTAGGGTAGCTGAAAACCAGTGAGACACAGTTATTTCTGATCCACAAGTTTACTTAATAGCATTTCACCTGCCAAGGTACTGGTAGAAAACGACCTTCTGAGAGCACACTAAACTGCAGTTCAGCATTCAAGTTGCATTCCCAGTATTCCCAGCATTCCCAGCCCTCACCCACCTTACATTTGGAGTCACTTAACTTGTAGCTACTCCATTTCTTCCAAGACTTCTGTGTTTATCTAGGACTTTATTTCCTGAAGAAAAGCCACCCTCCAAATGTATTGTTTGTCAGCAAGCTTTTATCTCTTTATGTCTCCCTTTCTCCCTATTTTAGCATTATACATCATCATCATCAATCGCAGTAGTAGTAATTTTTTTTTTAATGTTGTGAACCACCCTGAGACCTGTGGGTATAGGGCAGTATACAAATTTAATAAACCACAATAGATAGATAAAATGTATGTCAATGGCAGCTATAACTGAAGCCCAGCATAGGTGTTACAAATTAAATGGCTATAGTCTGCATGCCAGTTATATGCTTCATGATGTCCACCTGAAACGTGATATATATTGTAAATAAATAAACATTTAGCTTTGCCTGGGGAGATCTGGGTTCAAATCCCCTTTTGGCCCTGAAACACAGTTGGTGTCCTTTGCCCAGCCGTGATTCCTCAGCTTAACATTTTCAGAGAGTTGCTGTGAGTGTAAAATGAGGCAATGGGACACAAAGTTCGCAATTCTGAGCTTTTTTTTTTCATATTTGGATATATGTCTTTGGCTCAAAATATGGTTACAAAATATGTAGAAGCTGTGGCCGACCACTATCTCAGGGGCTAGCTCAGTTCTGGTGACACACAAGTCAGCCACAGCAAGCATCCATTTTGGATAGTTTCTCAGTCCAGGTAGATGCTTGTTTTGAATTGTGCAATAAAGTAAAATTAAATAGCCATCCCCATTTTGCTAAATAAATGAAGAAGACAGCACAAAAAATAGTTTCCAGCACATTTGTATACAGTATTTGGGCACATCTCATGCTTTGGATTTTGTTTCAAGAAGGATTTTTTTTTTTATTGGCAGAAATCCTTCAAGAAAAGTGTTGCAGACAGATAATGGGGTATAAATAACATATACCGTATTTTTCGCTCTATAACACGCACCTGACCATAACACGCACATCGTTTTTAGAGGAGGAAAACAAGGGAAAAAATATTCTGAATGAAACAGTGGACGTATCATTTTTGTGCTTCATGCTGTGGCCACAGACATGTGATCTGATGGTGAATTTGGGGTGACCCAATGCAAAAATCCTGAGAATCCCTGTGGATCCATGCTTTGTAACCACGTTTTTGCACCATTGCAGCCCCAGGCAACAGTGGGTGCGTGATTTTTTTGGGGGGCAGGCTGTAGCCATGGACATGCTATGTCCTCTGATGGTGAATTTTGGCTGACCCAATGCAAAGATCCTGAGGATCCATGTGGACCCATACTTTTTAACCACGTTTTTGCACCATTGCAGCCCCAGGCAACAGTGGGTGCGTGATTTTTTTTTGGGGGGGGACAGGCTGCAGCCATGGACATGCTATGTGCTCTGATGGTGAATTTTGGCTGACCCAATGCAAAGATCCTGAGGATCCATGTGGATCCATGCTTTGTAACCACGTTTTTGCACCATTGCAGCCCCAGGCAACAGTGGGTGCGTGATTTTTTTTTTTTGGGGGGGGGGGAACAGGCTGTAGCCATGGACATGCTATGTGCTCTGATGGTGAATTTTGGCTGACCCAATGCAAAGATCCTGAGGATCCATGTGGATCCATGCTTTGTAACCACGTTTTTGCACCATTGCAGCCCCAGGCAACAATGGGTGTGTGATTTTGGGGGGGCTGGCTGTAGCCATGGACATGCTGTGTGCTCTGATGGTGAATTTGGGGTGACCCAATGCAAAGATCCTGAGGATCCATGTGGATCCATGCTTTGTAACCACATTTTAAGTGGGGAGGGAAGGAAAAACACAGAAGGCTAAGAATGCAGGAGAGGGCTATAACGTGAGGAAAGGAAGGCAAAAGTTTCCCCCCACCCACACAAGCCAGCCAGCGTGCGCGCTCTCTCTCTCTCTCTCTCTCCCTCTCCCTCTCCCTCCCACCAGCATGACAGAAGAAAGCATTTTAACTGCATTAAGAACTATTTAGCAGCGAAACCTAAGCTTTGCCATCCCTTAAGAGGTACAGACACTGTAATCTTCCAGATCGCATGAATTTACAGGCAAAACACTGTTTAAGGATTTCATCCTTTTAAATGGAAGAAAGCATATTTGAATGCTGTGTGTCTCCAAAAACAAAAAGCAGGAAGTCAAATCAGAATTTTAAGCCGAACCTGTAATCTCTCTTCCCTTCACAAACATTGTTCCCTCCGGAGCAGGGAGAGGAATTAGAAAGACGCTCTGCTCTCCTCTCTTCTTGCCTGGAGGGGAGGGGCTTTCCCTGCTCTTTGTTCCGTTTGAGCAAACACAGCAACGAAACAGAGCAGGGTGGGCAGTAAGACCCTGAGACAGAATGCAGGAAAGCAACAGCTTCCTCTCACGGAGCTCCCTTCTCCCTGAAGCGCGGTTTGATTTTTGCCTCATTTTTCGGCTCCAGGGACCACACATTCGCTGCATAACACGCACAGACATTTCCCCTTCCTTTTTAGGAGAAAAAATCTGCGTGTTATAGAGCGAAAAATACGGTAGTTAACATGTTTAGCTTCATGTTAAGAAACTTTATTCTCAGACTGAAGGTCATACTTACAATGAATACATGCTGGGTATTGTTTCCAGCAGCTGTTAAAAATGTGTGAATTAAAAAGTGCAACATCCTTTGTCTCTCATCTTGATGCTTCACCATGTCTTTCGTTTGTATTATAGCTGCGGCAGATGACAGATGTTACAGATATGCAGACTGTGCCAGCTGTACTGCCAATACAAATGGCTGTCAATGGTGTGATGACAAGAAGTGCATTTCTGCAAACAGTAACTGCAGTGTGGTGAGTATTTATATGTGGCAGTTTCATTAATGACACCGCTTTGTAACCATTTATTTGCTCTTTTGGTGCCTTCAAAATGTAAATGTCACATCAGATGCTTGAAATACATATGAAATAAACTTCATCATAAATTAATTGCAAAGACGTATAATATAATTGGAAAGAGAAATAATGAAAGTAATAGAACCACCTGCTTTACAAATTGGTTTAGCCAATCAAGCACGTAGTTTAAGCCTTAGTTGACAATCCACATCATCTAGAGTTCTTTGAAATATTCTTACATGGCCATTTGGGAATTGTGGGGTTATCATCTAGGAAAAAATACACCTTAGCTACCTCTTATTCATCATCATCTTCATCTTAAAAGCCTTGTCTAAACTGCTGGATTTCCAGACATAACAAAGTTAATGAATATTAAGTAGTTGTTCAGTCTTTCTCAAAAGAAGAATATAATAAAAATCCTTAACTATTGTAGCTGATCTTAAAACTTTGTTCACTATGGATATATCCAAAAAGTTAAACAAGTATGGCCTACAGTGTAAGTGCACTTCCAGCATGACTGCTCTTGGATGCCTCCTTAATGAAAGATAGAGGCTTGTGATGCAAGACAAGGCGTTCTTGGTGGTGGTCTCCCATTTATTGAATTGGCTGCATGGTGGTTATATTTATACATCAATTGAAAATATTTTTGTTTTTCCAGGCTTTTGATTGTACTTTCATGTAATGTAATGATTTTATGGCTGGTTTTTTATTTTAGACGGTAGTTTAATGATTTTTTATATGAAGCTGTGCTGTGCTCTGTATTGGAGGAAGTCCAGGGTATAAAGAGATCAGAATAAATAAATAACATTTACAGGCTGAATTTAAGATAGAGCCACTGAAGATATACATATTATATTAAGTCTATGTATCTTGAACTAAAATATTGTTCTTAAATAAGAACTAATATCAGTTTTTAAAGTGTGCCAATCTTCACTGTCTTTGCTGTTAAAATAGCTCTCTGGGGTAGTTCAGTGTTGCCCACCCTGAAGTGGGATTAAAACAAATACATGGCCTCCAGTTTAATGCTATACTTGCTTACTCAGCTGTAATTCCCATTGAGTTCAATGGGAGCTTAACGCCTGGTAAATGTGTTTAGGATTTAAGCACAGATCACCTAGTGAATCTAGGGACATTGTCCTGTTGTTGTTTTTTTGGTCTGCTGCCTTGAATGCACGTGGCAATATATGGTAAATGAGACCATTAATTTAATCATTTAATTTGTGAGATACAGCAATAGTGACACATTTAGGGATTTGCAATTCTCCACAATTATAAACAGATATATATCTCCGCATTGCTATCCAACATAGCAATGTGAATACATTAATGTTTCCTCTTATTACTATTAAGTTGTGTTTTTAAAAAATGTTTTCCTGGCTTCACGTGTTTTCTATAGTATATAAAACTGTTTGTAAGAAAATGAAGGGGGAAACATCTACCACTATACCACTACTTTACTTTTTTGCATTAAAAAATATATATTCCACCTTTGCACCTGCTCCTAACCACCCTGATACATGTTCCCTTGAGAAGAAACATGAAGATTATTATCAAAAGTGATTGACTTTACTTATGTGTTATCGGTGGCATACAGTAGTGCTTTTGACAGCAGAGTAAAATTACTTGCGATAAGGCAAACCCTCTGAAGCACATCAAAATGCTGTGGGTATTTTTCATGAGTTGATAAAAACATTTATAGCAATGATAAATATTTCTCTTTTAAAAGCAAACAAATATTAGAAAAAATTGCATGTAATGATTTTTGAAAAGAAAGTTCCAAATCTCTGGTTATGTGATATTTCATATATGGTGCTTAGAAATGCAATGGTAAAAAAATCTAGATAGGAAATGAAAAAAAGAGAAGGGCTAAAGCAAGAATATTACATTACAAGTATATATCATTTAAGGCCTGTTAGGCAAGGACAGCTGGATAATGAACAGAAATTATACTTTAGACTTTCCCCACATCATATATTATCTTTATTGAGAAAGCAATGAAGCTGAAATTCCAAACAGGTCAGGAATGCTAAACCGCAGAAAACATAGTTGAAATGTAAAGTGTGTTAAAGCTCATCTTGCTTAATCATTTGCTGTTGCCTGCAGCCCACTGTTTTACCTTCAAAAAGCGGACCTGGTCCGTTATACCCTACACATGACAGTAGGTGCACAGTGCCAGTGTAGCTATCTGTGTGCACACGATGGGGGGGTATATGTGTTCCTATTCTGGGTGTGTGACAGGGGATTCCTTTCTGCTTATAGCTGTGTTCAATATACAGAAATGTGGTAGAAAACTAGATTACATCCCAAGCTTGTGAATAACGTGAATGATTTTTTGGCTATTGTAACATCCGATAATTTGCTGGGGTTTTTTTGTAACATTAAACCATATCTTTGTATCCAAAAAGGGAAATTCTAGTTGCTTCTGGGGTATACAAAGCTCATATATCCTCAGCATAATGCTTGACATTGTGATTGAAATTGTTACTATTTAGCAAATAGTTTCTAGCAGGCCAGAGCAATCTAAACTATTTGGATTTATTCAGACATAAAAAGGCAACATTATATTAATATACTAGGCATATATTGCTAAATCTATACTAAATTTTAAGATACAGACATTTAATACTTCTCCTGCTACTTACTCCCTACGCCCAGTTTTTAACTGCAAATTTTGCATGCAATGTTTCAGGAACCTTAGCTGAGTAGGCTTATTATACATGTTCACTCTATGGTCTGGTGAGCCACAGTAAGCACACCTCTCTTCCTTCTTTCTGGGCACAATTGGAAGGAGGAATTTTGAAAGTTCTCATTTCCACATTAGTTTATTGTGTTATCCAAACCTGAAAACTGTGGTTAATTTTAACTATGATTTATTTGAAGCAATTGAGCTTCAAATCATGGGTTATCAATATGACTTGTTTAAACAAACCATACTTAAAGTCAGACAACAAACTAAACTGTCGTGAAAAGTAATTGGAAGCACAACAACAACAGCTTGTATACTGCCCTTCACCTGAAGACCACAGGGTGGTTCATAACATTAAAGATAACACCACAAGGCCCTGCCAGAGGTGGAGGGGTCCAGCACCCAAGTCCAGGGCTTGCTGTGGCTCATTCTCATCATGCTACACTGTGATTTGGTGTCTGGAGGCAGACAATATCTTTGAATATACAATTCAGATCTTCATTAAATAATACTTAGCTGATTCCTGCATGGTATATCCATTCACATGAATTGTTAACAGTTCTCATCATTAGACTATGCTGTAGCCCTGGAATTAATTGTATCAGAGACCTGTGAGATCAATTTTGAATGTTAATGGAAAACCGTTTCTAGGCAAAGACATTGTAACTTGGTATGAATGAGAGGCCAGGTACAAATCAGTTCATATAAATTGGGCAAACTAATAGCGTGGTTTGATTTTCTTCATTGAACAATGACACTTCCTTTTGTGTTCACATGAACATAGGCAAGCTATAGGGATGACTCAGAAATACTTGCCTGAGTGCTACATAATTTCTTAATGAAAAAAGGACCTTTAGTTGAGATGCTATTCCTTTCTTCACCTGTAACATGAGAAGTCTGGCTCCATGAGTGAAATTCAGCGTTGTCTTCTTCGAATCATTGTCTGTGCAAGCATTTCAGCTTGCCAGATGTAATGATTCCCCCTATCCTCACCCTGCATTTTGTTTAAGTTATCCCAGCCCCCAAGCCAATTTGGGGGGGGCATGTGGGGGTAGGAGAGAATGGGGGAAAGTGCTATTGCATTAGCAGAAGTCATTGTGCAGGGCTTCCACTGATGTGACTAGTTAGGTGAATCCCATTCCATGACTCCCAGCACACCCTTCTACCTTAACACAAAAGTACATACTTTGGGTGTTGTACTCTACGCTAACTTAATTCCTCTCAGAACTAAACTTTATTCACATACTTGTTTAGATAATCATTTCTTAGCTTTGAAAGCTGAGACACAAATAAGCCTTGTGTCCATCCAAACAACCCCTTCTATCAGCCCACTGTGATTAAACCCACAAGTCTTCAATTAAACATATATTCCTGTTTCTATTTCATTCAGATTGGGAAACTATGTTTACCTGGGTTAGAACAAGCCAGTACCTTAAACAGTGGTTTTGAAGTTGGTCTAAGGTTCTTCCAAACTTTTTGGCTAAAGGGTAGGTTATAAATGCCTTTAAATAAATATAAACATCAACATTAATAATTATGTCACTCTGAAAAGGAAGGAAGCAACGGGCTGTGTTTGCCTGTGTGGGGACAACAACAATATATCTTATGATCAGCTAAACAAAAAGTCTATAGCTGTATAAAAGATAACTCTTGTTTTGAGATCTAGCAAATCAGGACTCAAGGATGGAATGGAAAAACAAATATGAGGGGAAAGTCTCTCTAGACCTTCTGTAGATAAATGTTGCTGTTTAGATATCTTAGAATCATTGTGCATCTTTTAATAAGAAAACACAAGCATTCACAGAAACTTAGGCAGAAAATGAACTGTCATTTGTAGTGTTGATAAGGAACAAGGGAGTATTTAAAATAGCCAGAAACTGGCATAAACAAACCAAACCTTGAACTATTTCAATAAGTTGGGCAACTGTAGATGCTTCTTCAGATCTTAAGGGGATAAACTAATGAACATACTGAGCTGCTAGCAATTATTTTTGATAAGTCATGGAAAACATTGAAGGCATCAGAAGATTTTTTTGTGGGAGGAGGTGGAACAAACAGTTTCAGTTTTATCAGGATAAAAATATAAGAGCAAATACTGTCATGTGAGTCTAACTGGGTTTTGAAGTGACATTGGGTCCAGGCAGCAGCTTTCTTTACGACTGATTTGAACTGTGGTGCTAACCCCCAATTATTCAGGTGTGGAGAGAAAGTCCTGGGAATAGATGCCCAAAAGTATAGTGCAGAGCTTTCCAAACTGTGTGTTGTGACATGTTAGTGTGCCAGCTGCAGTTTGTAGGTGTGTTGCACAAATGCTCCCCGCACACCTCCCAGGGCTGGAAAGGGGTTAGTTTAACCTCTGGTTTGCTAGGAAAATAGAATTACTGTGTTGCAAAATGATGCATGTCTAAAAAGTGTGTCACCAACATGAAAAGTCTGGAAAGCTCTGGTGTAGTGGGTCTGTATCATAGATGCTTATGTAGATTCTGCTTTGTGCACATGCAAATGTACTATTCATGAAACAACATCCCACTCAGGAAGATAGTGGGACTTCCTGGAATATATCCTCCCACTGTGTAAGAAAATATGACAGTTGGAAATTAGTCTGTTTATTCATACCCTTCTATTTATGTATTTTTACACCTACACCTATAATAAAACTTGTGCAACAGATGTTAGCTCCGACTAAGACCTTAGTGTTAACAAGAACCACCTATTGGATTTGCATTTACACTAGGTTACTGAGATTTGTCCAGAAAGGAATGTGTAAATTGGATTTAAAGGAAATAAAGCTTGGAAGCAGGTGACTACGGAGAATACAGATAGTAGTTATTAGTAGTTCTTTTTAAAGTCAAACATTGTTAAATAGCCTTTGGTTATCTATAGTCAGAAAACCATACTGTGAAACCAGTAAGAATACTCTCCCCCCCCCCCAGCTTTTCTTTTTTACCCTCAATGCTACTTACTACCATATGGGTTCATTTTCGAAAGCAGCCTGAACTTTTCAGGATTTTGACATTGTGATAATGACATGTTAACAAGGAATATTAGGTGAGGACAGTGTTAAGTGAGCAGATGGTGCTTACTTGCAATTTAAAATTCATTGTAATGTACCTCACAGGCAGCATTGTCAATAATGTATAATGGCTGAGCCAAACTAAATGCAAATAGGTATAAAAAGGTCTTCTGAAATTCATCTGTGCATTTTTTACAGGCTTACCTTCTGTCGCTTTGCATATTTTACTCGAGCTAATTGGTAATGCACATAGCTCTGTAGAGTTCTTATAACAGAACATGGTTTTGTTTCTGTGTTTATATCTAAACACCTTGTAATACCTTTCTTCAATACCTTAAAAATAAATTGTGTTTCATGGTGTATTCCACATGGTTCAATATGATCTTGTCTACAACTGGTATTTTTAAAAATGAATGTAGTATTTAAAAAGGACAGCGTTCCTAATTCTCAATATTAGTATCAACACAGTACTACTGCTATACAGGCAATTGCTTTGTCCATTAAATAATTTTATTTAATAATCTATGTGTTTTTAATTGGCCAAAGAAAAAGATGGCACAGGTCACTTAATTCAAAATACTGCAACGACAAGATTTCCTACACTTCATTTCTTCCTCCACAAACACTTATCTGTTCTCCCCCACAGAAGGAAACATCACTGTTTCCGTTGTACATATGTTACGGCAGCTGGGTTTTTTCCTTCAAAAACCCCTATCATGTTCCCCCCTTAATCTGTTTTTCTCTGTACGCAGCATGCTTCATTCCTTTCAGCTTTTCCCCAGATGTCTTACATTCTAAACTCTCCTCATTTTTTGTTGCTTTCTTCTTAAGGCTAACTCTCACTTTACATTTTATGTTCTAGCATGGATGCCTGAGCACAGAATAAACTAAGCTCTAATTAAGTGTGAAGGGAGCACCCAGGTAAAATTTGATGTGTGTCCATTACATTACTTGGAACTGGAGGCCTATGCTTTCTTTTGTTCTTCTTTTCCGTAACTTTATTTTTCATCTTCTGAAAATACATGTAGCAACAATCCCCATATGCCTCCATTGTTGTTGTTGTTGTCATCCATCTGTCTCAGGAAAAATGGAGGAATGTGCCTTTCAGGGTGAAGTCAAATAGTTGGAAGGTTACAATGCCTGCTGTGGCAGTAGAGACCGATATGGGAGTGGTATGTTTTGTTGCAGCTGGGCAAATGAAGTTCTCTGGTTGTGCAGATGCACTATGCCATTTCTTCTCTCTGCATCCTTCCCAATGGTCATTCCTCCTCTGGTCACTGCTATGGATGCAGCCCTGCTTAAGATGGTCAGTAGATGACCAGTGAGACACGATGATCTCTCCCACTGCCGAAGGCAGCCTGTAGCACTTGGACCTTACATCAATCAGATATATCTTCTAACTTGTAACTGCGGTCACCTACATCTGGGCCTGCCCAGATGGCAAGCACCACCCCAACCCTTGCTAAGGTGGTCCAAAGGAAAGGAAAGCAATACATTTGGCACCAGCTGGGCTGCAGGAGTTCCTGGAAGGAGACGTATAAGACATCATCAGACCACCTTAGTGACTCCACTCCAGTTTTGTATAGGGTTTACTTCTTCTGAAAATGCACATGTAGATCTTGACATTTTTATACAGAAATTGAAAGAAAATAGCAGTTGTGTTATGTGCTAAAGCAGGACCAATATCATTATCTTTATCTCCACAAGCTGCATGAGCCAACTTTGGGGATGTCCACCTGTCAGTCACCTGATGTCATAATGACATCAGGCGACAATGCCTCTGAAGTGTTTCCAAGCAGTTTCAGTAGAAATCAGATCATTAATTAGCCAAAACAGAAGTGGATGGTTCATAGTTATGCTGGTTTGATGGTAATACTTTAGACCACCAAATGAATTGTGACTATGTAGGTCCTTCAACTCAGGCATTCCCAATGCTAATTGAGCATTCTGTCCACATGACCCTAACCGTCGGAAAAAAACAAGTTCACTAGCCTAAGAAACAGGCATCTAACATTTATTTATGAAGTAATTATTAGTCTGTGCTGTTTCTAAACAACTGAAAGACAGTTGCCAGATTCTTAAAAGCAGTCTTTTAAAAGCTTGTTTTCATTAATATTAGACTTTATTGTTCAATTATTTTTTCAGGAATATTTTTAAATGATGAATTTTAAAATTTAGAAAATGGTTGTAATGTATTATTTACCTTCTTTTCTTTAAAAAAATGGGTAAGTGCCATGACTTTAACTCTATTAACATTTACCTTCCTATTACTCGTATGTTTAGGTCAGTCAGTTCCTTCAGAATTTTTAAGCTTTCTCCATTCTGAGAATTGACATGGTATGTATGTGTGCTTATATTCTAGTCTGTGAAAAACTACACCAAATGTCATGTAAGAAATGAACAGATCTGTAATAAGCTGACAAGCTGTAAAAGTTGTTCACTAAACCTCAACTGCCAGTGGGACCAACGACAGCAAGAATGCCAAGCATTACCAGGTAAAGGGGAAATAATGTGTTTGAAAATAATTTTTAAAGCATTATTGGGTAAAAGGGGAAGAAATTTCAGATCCGTGTTAGGAATGCAGACTTTTCAAAATTCAACACAGTGAACTATAGCCTTGACTACTGGGTGTAATCCATCCAAAATGACAAGGAATATGCACAACTTTAGCTGTGTTCTTCTAGATAATATTTTATTTCTATATAGTTTTCTATGGTATTCACATGCCACCTTCATGTTGATGCAAAGCGTAGTATTGCAAATAATCTTGCACAAATCACAAACCTTATTTTCCTGAGATTTGGCAGTAACCCATTGTATATCACACTGTGCTCCTATTATTGTAGTTTTACTTCACCGATTGAAAATGCTAGTTCTGTTAGGCTATTCTAATGTAAAGCATTTGTTGCCATGACCTCCTGTTTTACTCTGGAGGAAGTGTATAGGAGAGGAGGTGCTTTTTGTTGAATCTTCCTACCGCAGATCCCTGTGCTCAAGAAAGTTTTTTTGGGGGAATCACCTGGGGGAGCGTGAGGAGTGATGCAGGAAGGGAGAATGGTAAAAAATCCCCTACCTTCCTCCTTGAGCAGGGAGCCTTTGCTGGATCTTGGTTGCTTCTGTGAACAGAAGGAGCCCTTCCATCCATGGAAGTCATACCCTGGTTCTAGCTCAGTGGTTCCCAACCTTTTTTTTGGCCATGCCCCACCAAACATCTCTAAAATCCTGATTGCCCCCCTTGTGACATATTATTATTATTATTATTATTATTATTATTATTATTATTATTATAAAAGTGAACTCCTGTTCACATGGAGGAAGCCTAAAAGGCCATTAACTGTTAATAACTCATTCTCAAATTGCCTCCCTTAAAAATCAAATTGCCCCCCTGTGGGGCTTCTGCCCGACGTTGGGAACCACGGTTCTAGCTGAATATGTAGGTGATGTGCCTTTTAGGTGAACTGTGTTCTGAAAAGATAATTCTAAAGCCTAGTTCTAAATGTGATGTTTTTTTCTTTCACAACTACTTTAAGCTTGTGTAACTCTTTACTAGCTCATCTGTGTGGAGAAGGATGGAATCATGTTGGAGATGCCTGTCTTCGTATAAACTCTAGTCGTGAAAACTATGACAACGCGAGACTTTACTGCTATGGCTTACATGGCATCCTTGCTTCATTAACAACATCAAAAGAAGTTGAGTTTGTTTTGGATGAAATACAGAAATATACCCTCCAGGTAACCCGAGTGTCTAATTCATAAGTGCATATATGCAAATGTTTTTGTAAACTGCTCTAAGAATTCATTTATTTATTTACAATCAAGCGGCTATAAATGAAATGAAATGAAATGAATGAATGAATGAATGAATAAATAAATAAATAAATGTAGGTTGATGTTTGGTTTTATTAATTAAATTGATGAAATCCATATACTGTATTTTTCCCGTGTATAACACGCCCCCAAATCCACCCTATGCACTATCCATGTATAAGACGGCCCCAGTTTCTTTACATAATTTTAAAGTAAAAAAAACCTCGTCTTATACACGGAAAAATACAGTACATTTTAGAAGCATTTGCTGTAGTGCACACGGTGGTAATTCTGCCTACAGGATCTCTTGGGATAGTAATTATTTCTAAATGTATACCTCTTCATATAAATGAGCATATCCAAATTTTATGCAAATATTTTGCTTTCGTTTTGAGCTTTTTGTGTTATGCATTCCCTCTTTATTGGCAATGCACAAGTGCCCACTCTAAGGAAAAGCCTGTTGATGGGACCAGTTAACAAGCTGGAGCAAAGAAAACACCAGATCGAAGGGCTAACCTGCACGCAGGTTTGCAAAGCAGTTCAGAAGTGAGGACCATAGAATAACCAATGATATAGGAAGACACCAGAGCTCAGATCATGTTGCTTGAGCAAGGCTTAGCTAGAACTGGAAACAAGCACCTTTCCTTTTTTCTCAGAAGGATCCAGTGTTTTAACACATGGGGGAGGTTCACACAGATCTGGCAGCTCCTAGTACTCTCCTTCTGATCCATTGTATCTTCTTCTGAAAACAAGCAGACTAGTTCCCGAAGTTCAACACCTAAGAATGCAGTGGCAAGATTTGTGGACAGTTTTGTTTTGACCTGCCTTAATGTAGGTTTGCACACACATATGTTTACACACATATATACAGACACAAATCTCTAGATGAAATGGTAAAAGAAGCCTCATAAATCTGAGAATACCACTGATGACAGCCTGTCGTTTTGACAAGTTTGGTAACTGGAGAAATGGTTGTTTTCATTTTCTGAAATTTCTGAAGGTGACACCGTACCAAACATACCTTTATTCAAATGAATTATGTGTTGAGACACCTAAGCTATATAAATTTGAGATAAGTCACTTGCAGTATACACTACAGGTAGACAAATCCATACACTTTAAGGAGGTATTTTGGGTCAAATGATTATTTACTTATCAAAAACTTCTAATGAAATGTTACAGTGATTTATGCTTTATCTCGCTTCTGTTTCCCCCCTCCAAAAAAGTAATTTCTCTTTCATTCCTATCTCTCTATCCGTCCCATTCCATTTATTGTGTGTAAGTCATTTTGAATGTGCTATCAGTTGCCAGAGAAGCTTGCTGAGATTTCCCTTGATTTCCCTTCATATGCCTGCTCTTTCAGGCTCGAATCATAATGATTTAGGACATACGATTTCATTTCAGATGACTTCTTTGTTACAGATAGTTTAGTAAGGTTCACAAATGTAGGCAGAACAGCTGAGAAATGTCTGCTAATCTGAAATATTTGTGCTTGTTTGAGTCTTAAAACCTTTTCATATTTAAAGCAATGACTTTTGTAAAATAAAAGTTTTTGGGGTTAATATAAACTATTTGAAAATAAGAATATAAATGTACATCTGACTGAATGATTTTTTTATTTAGGAAAGAATACTACATCAGTTAAATGCTTGGATTATTATTATTTATAAAATTTATGTAACTTCACTGTGTCTTCTGCCTACCTCTAATGTCATTCACTCACGCAGCCTCTCATCCATAGAATTAGAAACCACCTCTCAGCAAAGTAGTAATGTCAGAACTACAGGGCTGACACCACTTATTTCATTTCCTCACTCTCCTGTATGTGATAACCTTGGAGATTACCATACCCAGGATATCATGCTCATATTCCAGACTACCCCTCATTTTCTCCTTCCTTCCAAAGTTGTGATCTAGGGACGCAGGTGGCGCTGTGGGTTAAACCACAGAGCCTAGGACTTGCCGATCAGAAGGTCGGTGGTTCTGAGGTCCTGTTGCTCGGTCCCTGCTCCTGCCAACCTAGCAGTTCGAAAGCACGTCAAAGTGCAAGTAGATAAATAGGTACCGCTCCGTCGGGAAGGTAAACGGCATTTCCGTGCGCTGCTCTGGTTCGCCAGAAGCAGCTTAGTCATGCTGGCCACATGACCGGAAGCTGTACACCAACTCCCTCGGCCAATAAAGCGAGATGAGCGCTGCAACCCCAGAGTCGGTCAATCAATCAATTTCCTTTATTCGACCGATAGTCAGAAATAAAACATTACACAATAATTATAAACTATAACATCATAGGGGTACATAAATAAGGTAGGGTCACAGTACTAGACCTCTCACAGATAACCCACACCCAGAGTCGGTCACGACTGGACCTAATGGTCAGGGGTCCCTTTACCTTTACAACAAAGTGTTGAATTAAAAGCCAATATAAAAGTTATATATGAAAAGCCTTGTGGAATGAAAAGACTTTCAGGGGCTGCCTAAACAAGAAGTGGAGAACCTTTCAGCCCTCCTGATGTTGCTGAACTACAACTTATGTGAGTGCTATCAGGCATGGCCAGTGGCCAGGAATGATAACGAGTTCTAGTTCTACAACATCTGGAGGGCGAAGGGTTTCCTACACCTAGTTCAGCCTAAAGACAAGGATCATGACTGAACAATTCACAAGACTCAACCTAGCTCCTCTCGTACACATTCTGAATATATGGCTATGTGATTCATGTCACCCTACATTCTTAACTAGAGAGTGTTTGTATACTGGAAGATAGGATTTTATCAAGAGACACTTATTTACAGTGGATCGTGTTGAATTGCAATATTTGTTCAGCTTCTTTAATCTTATTCTTATCCTCCAATTATGCCCCTTCAAAGAAGGATACAGCAGAGCAGATAATTTAGCCAACACAGTAAAAAGGTAAAGGTACCCCTGCCCGTACGGGCCAGTCTTGCCAGACTCTAGGGTTGTGTGCTCATCTCACTCTATAGGCCGGGAGCCAGCGCTGTCCGCAGACACTTCCGGGTCACGTGGCCAGCGTGACAAGCTGCATCTGGCGAGCCAGCACAGCACACGGAACGCCGTTTACCTTCCCGCTAGCCAACACAGTACCAATGAACAAATGGTTCAACATCCAGGGCCTGGTGACCTGTGCTCTCCTTTCTCTTCGGAAAATTCTTACCAATGTAGAGGCAGTACTTGTTCCCCCATGTTCTTGTGTGTACATTCTGGACCACTAATGCCCTGGTGTTCTGTATAAGCATGTTTGTTTTAGCAACTAGAAGTCATGGGACTGTGAGGTTTAGGCATTGACCCTCCATCTTGCCTAGTGGAACCTCCCTTGCTTATCTAAGTGGAATGCTTTGTCCTTGTACTCGTTCAATGTAATCTTACAAATGGAAGGCACATATACCGTATATCTGAGACTTTGTGAAAGTGGAATGAAGAGTTTAATCTTGGGTTTAGAGCAGAGTTCACTTTAAGAGAATAGAAGGTTTATACACTGCAGCATTTTTTTAGGAAGACCTAATACACAGGATAAAATATGTTCCACATATGCACAAATGGTTGGAGAACACCACCACAAATGTATTTGAAACAATACAAAAGAATTGATGAGTGCTGAGGAGAGAAAGCAACGCTACTGATTCATGTGGTTCCCCTTTTCATCCTTCACAGAAAATATCACCCTGGGTTGGGCTACGGAAGATCAACATCTCCTATTGGGGATGGGATGATATGTCTCCCTTTACGAACACAACATTGCAGTGGCTTCCTGGAGAACCAAATGACTCTGGATTCTGTGCCTATCTTGAAAGGGCAGAGGTTGCTGGTCTGAAAGCAAATCCATGTACGGCGATGGCCGATGGCCTCGTATGTGAGAAACCTGTTGGTAAGAGAGCTTACCATATTGCAAATATTATTTTTGGAACAATTTGCTCCAGCATGTACAGTATGTGCATAATGAATGTTGGAAGAAAGGTTGGTTCAGAGAGAACAGTCTCCTCCTAGTCTGAGATAGTCTTTGAATCCATAGCTTCTTAATCTGATAATGGGGAGTCTCTCAATCCAGAGAAACGTTTCATATAAGATTTGAAAGCACTTTTCCATTGTTCAGTTTGCATAGCACATTCTAATTCCCTAATCCATACTTTCTGAGTTTCTCAACGTGTGCTTTACAAAGTTCCAATAAGCATTTAAAAACAACAGGCATGAGTTTAGTTTTAATGCCCGCTAAAATATATGCTTTATGGAATAAATTAATGTCTGGAAAATTTAATCCTTCTTCCGATACTGGCAGCTGAATTTTATTAAGTGAGAAGTAAGGAGGAGGATTATCCCAAATAATTTCCAAGATACCTACTAATCTTTTGAAAATAGTTGGGGAATACATAAAAGATGTCTTGTAACACATATATTATCCATAGCAGAATATTCATTTTAAGTTTATTAACCTTACCACAAATAAGTTTAAGTGGATTATGTTTCATCTTTTAACAAAAAACAAACAAACAAACAAAAATGCAGTGGAAAGTCTTATAGTGAGATACCTTGGCAGTGTAAGTTGTTAGTTAACTCTAAAAATGTTTTAAATGGATAGATATGGCAGAAATAATGCAGTTTTCCATATCACTTCACTTACACTACCTGCAAACATTAAACGTTCTTTCTCTTGAGGGATAAAATTCATCTCTTGAAACCTTTTAGAACAGCTAATTTTGCTGCAGCTGTTACACCAGCTCCATGAGTATATGAACATAGTTTCATATAACTAGGGTTGCTATATTTAGATTTCTTTTACAATATTGAAAAGTGGCTTTTGGATAAATCTATTGTAAAGATTTTTTTTGAAGTTTGGTAGAAAGGACTGAGCCTCTCTACTGTCATTAGATGGAGGTATGATGCTTTAGAATAGAGAAGATCAAACAGAAATAGATCAACTCTTCTGTTTTGGGAATGAGGAGCCACAGTTGTTTGGCATAAATATATCCTATAAAGGGAAACATCATAGGAATATGTTCTCTATACACTAGATTTGAATGTGATTGACATGTAAAACCATGATGGTAAACAGCCATACGTATTTTATGCTATCAAACCCTAAATTCAGCATGGTTACAGGTGATTGTGTGAGTCCATTAGGAATAGTTTGCTGTTAAATTAGTACTATAAAAAAATGAAGTTTAAAGCAACACAATTGGATGATTTACATAATTTTCTTTCCTATGCTCTCACATATAAAGAAGGAGCTTGTCATGAAAACTACTAAATATCATAAATAAAACATGAATTCTACAAATTGTTTGCTTACTTATGCACACATTTGTACTACCGAAAATGATGAAGCTATCATAAAGTTACTGCATTTTTTGTTTCATGATATTGATTCTCTGGATATAACTGTCTGCATTTTGGAACAATAGATGCTGTGATCTTGTTTTTTTCCTGTAAAAAGACAGGAACGACAATTTAAGTGTGGATGTTAGATGCTTTTTGAAGCATAGAACTCTTTGCAGTTGCCAATTTTTCTTCTGTTGCAAATTTTATGCTGTTTCGAGAATCTTTGCTGCCTTTCTTAGTTTTATTATAAAGCAATTGCTAATAAACTCAGATTTCAAAACAGTGGAACAATTTGCAAGATCCTTTCTCTTTTTATTTTGGAATGTTGCCTTCCAGAAAACTGGAATAATGTTTGTCATGTATAAAACATTAGGTAATTCATCAGGTGGTTAAGGATATAGACTGCTGTGCATTAATAATAAAAGGTATGCTTCTGTGGGCAGTATGTAATTGGGAATTACTCTGTTCTCATACTTCAGTAGTTTGACAGCAAAACATATATATATAGTACATTTCTACCTCTCTGTTTTATATAACTAGCTGATTCAGTTTCCTGAGCAATGCATGATTCCAAGCGAGACAGAATGCATCCTGTGCTGAAATATTTTTCTCTTTTATGTTTAAAAAAATGTTTCTCTTGTTTTTGAATTTTTAGCGACTGCAAATATATACAGCAGGGGGCAGATGTTCACTTGACAAATCATACTTTTAGACAAAATGCACACTGTTTAAGGGAGAATGTATCACCAGTGAAGTAAATAGCTATTGCTTATGCACTATTTAACAAATGCAGTAGAACCAAAAGGTCATGCCTCACTGTACCTATTCAAGTATACACAGTCAAGGTTTACAATATATGTATGGCTTACTATGTCACATATACTAATAACTGAAGAAAAGGATAATGGCTTGTATATTATATTTTTCCTTTAAAAAAATTCAGCCCAGATTGTAGAAGGAACAGTGTGAATTATTATAAATGCAGCCAAAAAACCCTAAACAAAACACAAAGAGCAAGACCCAACATGTAGCAAAGTGAAAGCATTCCTGAATAAAGCAAAGGAAAAATATTTGTGTAGTATCATATATACTCATATAACATGAGTTTGGGGAAAATACTGAAATTCTACTTTCACTTTCTTTCTCCTTCAGTTAGTCCAAATCAAAATGCAAGGCCCTGCAAAAAGCCATGTTCCTTAAGGACGACGTGTTCAAACTGCACAAGCAGTGGCATGGAGTGCATGTGGTGTAGCAGCACAAAGCGATGTGTTGATTCAAATGCCTACATAATCTCCTTTCCATATGGGCAGTGTCTAGAGTGGCAGACTACCACCTGTTCTCGTAAGTATTTTTGTGAAATGAAGATTGCTAATTATGGTAATGAGTTGAAGTACAAAACTTATATAACAAGCAGGACCTGCTAGAAAATGTTGCATTGTGGATTGCTCCTGTTCCAGGTTCTAGCTAAGTCTTTTCATTCTCTTTACCAATGTTCATGTTGCCCCGCCCCCCCGCCCCCAGGTTAGCAAGCATTCTGTTGCGACTAAGCATATTCAGTCCGCATGGGACTGTGTACGCACTCGAAAGTTGCAAACTTTGGAATTCTGCCATGTCTGCTGATTCCTCCCTCTTGTTTGTGGGTGATGCCCTTTTGCCCATAAAACAATGGAGTTTGCAGTTTCCTTTGGCTACTTACTGAGTCTGTAACTATGCTGAAAATTGAACTGATCATTCTTTTAGCCATACTCCTAGGTGAAAACTTATAGGTTTGTATGTAGGAGCTCCAAAATTCATTCCCCACATTTCTGTTTAGTAGGGTAACAGGCTTAGAATGACCTCTCCTTGAGATCTTGGGGAACCACTAGCAGGATGGTGATACTGTCTAGGTCAACCTTTCTCAACCTTGGGTCCCTAGATGTTGTTGGACTACAATTCCCATCATTCCTAGCCAACATGGCCAGTTGGCAGGGATTATGGGAGCTGTTGTTCAAGAACATCTGAGGACCTAAGGTTGAGAAAGACTGGTCTAGGCAGACCAATGGTCAATAGGAACTTTATTTTCTAACCACTAGCCACTCTGGAATGTTTCATCAATCATTTTTAGTTAGTGTTCTAGTAAAGCAAATGCATAGTTGTACTCTGTCTATGCTCCAGTAATCTTGTTGTTTTTTTTTAAATAAAAATTTTATTAATTTTTTTAAACACAAAATATAGACAAACAATACACCATACATAGACATACAAACATATAAACATGTATAATTTCATAACCATTTTTTCATAACCTTATCTCTCGGACTTCCCCATACCTTCCCCTCCCTGCATCCTTGTTTTAAACCTCCTCAGCAACTCCTCAGTCTAATTATTCAAATCGATTTCTTTTAAGTTTCCCTAAATTTGTTAATCTTCCTGCATCCCAATTCCCATAATTGTGTCAACAAGTTATCATTTTCCCTTCTTGCCATATTAATATTACATCTTTTATAAAAAATTTAACTCTTATCCTAAGTTGGACTCAAATTCCCTTCCATCGATTTCACAATTTTTATAAAATATAAACATAATGACTGAACCCATAAATGAAAATAAAAAAGAAAGAAAAAACACAAATTTCTGTTTTCCCCTTCCCATCCCCGGTTTCTGTCCCTTCCAAATATGTGCCCAAAATAACAGTCCTTAGCCTGGGTTCCTCACGTCCGAGGCCATTAAATCTCTTTCCGTTCCTCTCCGCTGGTTTTGTTGGTAGTCCTTCATGTTGGTCTTTGGATCTCTAAGGAGTTCTGTCACGATCAAGCGAGATTTTGTTCCCTCCAAAGCACTTAAGAACAACTGCTGCAAAAGCTCCACCAGTCCTTCATATTCAAGGTCAAGATGGAGGTCCCAGTCATATTTCTTCTTTCCTTTAAGTTCTTGAATTCCAAGTATTCCAGGGGCTTCCTCCTTCATCTTTCGCTTCTTTTGCAGATTTGTAATCCATGTAATCCAAAGGTCTTTTTGTTTATAAACCACTTGTAAAAGCTTGGTACTTTCCATCGGTGCTCTCTCCTTTGCTTGTTTTGTCTCCACTTCTTGCGATATCTCTTCCAATTCAGCTGCAGGTTTTTTGTCATACAGTTCCTCATTACCTTCAGCAGAACTGCTTGTTCCAGAAGTCAAGGTCACAAGTTGTTTACTCATTGCAAGACTCTGTTCTTGTAAAATTCCCAAAAGATAGAATGTTCTTTCTATCTCCGCCAGTAAATTTCCATCTGCAGCCATTGTAATGTCTCAGAATTCCCCCTAGGGGGAATCTAATTACTTAGTAGCCTTTTCCCAACAATCTCTTACTTCATTACTTGTTTCTTTGTTTCCAACCGCTTAAATTCAATTGTATCACATTTAATCCAGAGAGGTCTTGAATAGCAAGCTTTTCTCCCTTGAGTTACCCGTTTGACAGCTTTTGACAGCTGTCAAACTCCTTTCCTTTTCAACAGGCTCAGAGACAGGACACTCCCGGCCCCGGGAGGGGGGTTTACATACAGCAAAAAACTTCTGAAAATCCACTCTTACACTCCAGCTCAAAACTTCTTTTACCAAATCGTGGAAATTAATGTTCTGTCCCTTTTTTCTTGACTCACCCCAAAAGGGTAGGCTCTCCTACTTAGTTCTACTTTTCCGTTGCTTTAAAAGTCATGCAGTCCGGGGGAGGCAGACTTCCTTAGTTTATACCTTTCCCCGTTTTCAGCCGAATTTCCAAATTCAGTTTAGATGTCCCACTTAAAATTGCTCAGTCCTACTCACGAGTATTATAGTCAAATTCCAGATTCAGGAAGGAATCGGCGCTCTCCGTTAATGGCGACGCGGCTTCACTCCGCTGGCTGGGTTGCGACTCTCAGCACCGCGCTCACTCCCGATGCCACTCCGGAGCCTTTAAAAAGGCTCTTTCGCGATACCGGGGGGCGCAAACGTGCCCACCGAGTCTCCTTGCTCACAGGCTTCTGCGCCTGTGATTTTAGGGGTCCCCCGCTCGCCGTAGCGGGTCAGACCCGAACCCACGGAGCAGTCCTGCCTCGGAGCTCGAGGCAAGGACCGCCATTAAGCGCTGGCGCCGACCGGAAGTGCCCAGTAATCTTGTTCTTCTTTTTTCTCCATCCCAACTACCTGTAAACCAGGGATAGCTTTGGTAGCAAAGCAAAGTTAGACCACTCCTAGGGCCAATCACGTCAATCTGACATTCTTCAGTAAATGTGTTGGCTATTCGGTGGCCTGAACTATGTTCTGAGACTACGGTATAAGCTACGGTATAAGCTAGGGAGCTAAGTGTTCAGGTGCCATACCTCACATCAGCTGAGGAAGGAAACAGAGCTGCAAAACATTGGCCTTTGGCAATGAGCAGACAGTACAGAGCTCATGGATTGGATAGGCTTAATAGAATTACAAAGAAACTGGAGTTTTGTCCTTGCCTGGTCAACCCTTAACTAATGATACATCTAGTTTCTGAGTGGGAGAAGTGGGTTAGTTTTGCTTGACCTAAATGGAAATACAGAGGCATCTGCTTGTAACATGAATAATGTCATATGGCCTAGATGCCATTGGACCTATCTTACGTGGTTCACAAGGTACCCCCTTTTGCTTCCTTTACTGACTACCAACCCAATTTTCAGCTTCAACCATTAAAGTTAGGAGTCCTGAGCTGGAGAAGACCCCCTTCTCTCTTAGTCTGTATTCTGGTATCATTGGTCACGTGCCTGATTTATACCTTACACAAGTTCACTGTTATCGAGCCGAGTAAGGAAGATCCCACCGCAGCTTCTATGTTTTTCAAAACTCTGCAGAGCTACCTGACAAACTTATATCTTTGTAGAAATCAAGTTGCACATGGCATATAAGCCTTGTTTTTGTGTCTTGGAATTTTCTGGGGTGTGTGTATGCTGAGTTAAGCTCTATATTTAAAAGACCTTTCTGTGTATTTAGTTGAAGGCCATCCAACTTTCTTGCATGCAAGAAGAACAGCAAAAAACTATGTTTAATTTAGTTGTCATTTGAGGCAGGTCTATAAAATTTTATATTAAATAAACCTAATGGGATTTCTTGCATGTCAGTTCAATATCATATGGAAGAAGCTCTCTCTGAAATTGTATTTTCTATCCAGCCAATACAAAAAATTAAATTTCCATAAGATATTTTATCAGAACCTAGCTATTTAAAGTTTGAGAGCAAAGAAAACAAAAACAAAACTGTAAAACACATTTTTCCTATGACTTGCATCTGAAACAAACATTTCATAAATGATTTTTTTTAAGTCTTGCTCATTTGCACAGAAAATGTCTGTCTATCTAGTAAGAGTGGGGAGAACTTTGTGTCATTTTTCATAGCAGTATATTTGATTAAAGACTGCAGTAGGTATTTGATAACACCATAAATGTCAGTGTGTAAGAGCAAATTTTCCACATAAACTGTGTGAATGAGACTATTTATATATTTTCATAGCTGTGAATACATTTTCATATTCATTTTCACAGCTAAGAAGGAAAATAAAACATTTACTTATTGAAGGCAATTAAGTCACAATAAAAATGTGAAGCTTTGAGAACATCTATTCCTGGGGAATATACTTATGGCTGCCTTATAAATGCAGGAAAGGCTTCCTCAGTATTATGAAACATGCAAGGGTGGAGACTAATAAAGCAGGAAATCCCAGATGGTATACTACTGCAAGAAAACCACCACAAGTCTTCCATATGAATTGACTCAGATCTGGCAATCATCATCTGAGGCCCTTCTTCATGTGCCTGTTCCATGAGCGGTCTGGAGGGTGGCAACACAAGAACAAGTGTTTCTGTTGTTTGTGGAACTGTCTCCCCAGGGAGGCTTGCTGGGGTCCTTCATTACATTTCTTTAGGCACCACGTGAAAATGTTTTTTCTTCAACCAGGCATTTGGCTGATAAACCTTCTATGCTATGACTCTGTGTGTGTTTGTGTGTAGGGGTTATTGGTTTTTTTCTGCTTCATTATGTGTTTTGTTTTCTCATTTTGTATTTTTCAGTTGTGAACTACCCTGAGATATTCAGATGAAGGGTGGTATACAAATGTAATAAATAAAATAATGATAATATTACTAATTCATCACTAAAGTCCTTAACCATTTTTGTTTTAGAACTCAAATACTGGCAGTAGGCTCTTTCAAAGCTAGATATGTGGCTATAACCATAGCTAAAAATGATTATTCTTTGATGTTCAGACCACTCCTTTGCACCCAAGAAGTAGCTATGCTATTGTTAATGGTATCTCGGGGCAGAGTGTGTAATATATTGATTATACAGTAGTGCCCCGCAAGACGAATGCCTCGCAAGACGGAAAA